TGAACTGAAGACAATAAGACTTAAGGGATAAAAGTTTATACAAACTGGACAAACATGGGAAATCAATTGTAGATAGGTATATTTGGAAAAATTAAGTTCGATGACTATTTTGACTACTACTATTCTGCATATTATTTGTTGAGAAAATAAAATTTAAAAAGTATATGTATAGGTATGTCTTCCTTTTTCTTTTTACTGGATTTTATGGTGGTTTTTCTCTCCTGGAGTTGTAATGGCTTTTAGTCGAAGTACAATAAATGACTGTCCTACTTTCAGGTATGGTTTTTCTCACCTTCCTCCCATTCCTGCTTTAGTAACTATCACATAAATTGTCATGAAAACATATATAATTTGGTCCCATAACAAACCAATTCTTGCCCAGTCCTCCTTCTCTTATCAGCAGTTATCACTATTAAAAAATCCAAAGTGTAACTATAAAGCGTCTTTATTGCAAAAGAGCAGATAGTAACATCTAAAGGGTTAAGTGAAAATTCTGACTTTTAATATTTAAAATAACTTAGGACGATAGCCAGTTGCTTCTTCTTTTAGATAAATAAATCTACATTTCCCAACTTTTATTCATCGAGGAAGGAAAATCAATGACATTACAAAAAAAAAAAAAATCCCAAAAAGTCACATCTATGTACTAAAAAGGCCAGAGAAAGATATATACAAACATCCGTTTCAACTAGCATTTTTGCAGCATGTAAACTAGGCACATTATATACAAACCGAGCCATTTATATATATTTCCTGCAAAATAAAAATCAACATTGGTCCAAGTTCTTGGAAGGAAACTATATTCTTTAAAAGAAAATGAAAATATATATATATATATATATATATTTTTCCAAGGGGGGAAAAAAACTTAATTTAAGTCAAATTATATACTCTGGTTATGGAATTAATTGCATGAGGAATCAAACTTGGGGCATAAGAAACCAGCTTTTGCATGCCTTTCTCTTTAGCTTAAAGAAGCTCTTCCATCCATGCCTGGACTTAATGACATTTAAAATTTCAAAATGTGCCCCTTCTTGTTCCGAAATAATTATATTTTAATTAAAAGGCTACATCCAATTTTAGGGTTCATCCCAGAGAAGAGATGCTGAATCACTGGGATTTTGTTCATCGCCGCTTTTAACACAAGCCCCATTTGTTTTAATGGGCTTCCTCTAATTCAGACTTTAAACTGGGACCAAGTTCTTTATTATTATTATTATTTCTGCAATTTCTTCCTTTGGGGCTTTATAACAGTAGAGGACACAGTGCGAATCATGCACAGATTCTTTCCCTATTTTGCTTTAGGCGTGAGTAAAACTCAGAAGACAAAGCCCTGCTTTTGCACGAATGCAAAATGCAAATCAATGCAAACTGAAAGAAAGAAAGAAAAAGAAAGAAAGAAAGAAAGAAAGAAAGAAAGAAAGAAAGAAAGAAAGAAAGAAAGAGAAAGCACTCAAATAAATAATTGTAATTTTGGGGAAAATATTATAAGTGCTCCATCCCTTTGGAAGAGGGTTTTTTCCCTCCTGCCCCAAAAGCAAATATAGAAGGGAGCAGCTTTTCATAGCAGCTTGGGACTGTCTCCTCCATCCTTCTCAGGGCCTGGGGCCTTTGAGGTGTTTTGGACTGCAATGCCCATCAGGCTGGCCTACTTACTCTGGGAGAAGAAGGGTCTTTTGCCTGGAGAGCCAAAGCAGATTCTCCATCCATTTCAGTTAAAGTCCTTCCTTCAATTTGGTGAGCGTTTCTCTCCAAATACCCCACAAAAAGGAGGGAGGTAACATAGGACTTTATCACACCGGAGGGAGGCAAGCGCTTCTCCTCCCGTCATTAAATCCTTATTAAATCCCATCAATATGGTGCAATAACGGGATGCTTTTCGCACGGCGTCGCCGTTATCGCGCCAGTATCCCGTCAATGAAGCGGCAAAATCGCGCCACTTTTTATCCACGGGAAAATGCCACTTTAATTCACGGGATACTGGCACGATAATGGTGACGACGTGCGAAAAGCGTCCCGTTATTGCGCAACATTGATGGGATTTAATGGCGATTTAATTTAATGAATGGCCAATTTCATCAAGGAAAGAGAGATGTTCATGGGAAAACAGCTCTGGAAGGATGCAAGAATATAACTTTCTTATTACTGACTCCTCATGAGCAACTTTGCAACACTCTTTTAACCCGTGGATCCAAAACTTTGGTCCTCCAGGCGTTTTGGACTTCAGCTCCCATCAGCCCTAGCAAGCGTGGCCAACAGTCAGGAATTCTGGGACCTGAAGTCCAAAACATCTGGAGGGCCAACGTTCGGGAAGCATTGCTTTTCATGTGATTTTCCTGTGTCCAGGCATGGCATATTTATAAGTAGCCCTACATCTCCTTTCCAGGCTGTGTTTGGTTATGAGGCATAAGTCCTGAACTCTTAGGCTGCATCCACACTGCAGAAATAATCCGCTTTGACAGCACTTTGGATGCATCCACGCTGCAGAAATAATCCAGGTTGGCACCACTTTAACCCCCACTTTAACAGTATGGGAGTCTGGGAACTGTAGTTTTGTGAGACATTTAGACTTCTCTGCTAGAGAGCTCTGGCGCCACAAGAAACTACAATTCCCAAGATTCCATAGCATTGAGCCATGGCAGTTAAAGCAGTGTCAAAGTGCATTAATTCTGCAGCGTAGATGCATCTAGAGAAGGATAAAAATCTTGCAAAACTACAAACACCTGAATCCCATCTTTTAAACCAAAAGCGGTGTCAAACTGCATTTATTCTGCAGTATAGATAAGGACATAGAAGGTCAAAAAAGTCTTTCAAAATTACAACTCCCAGAATTCCATAGCACTGAGCTAAGACAGTTAAAGCAGTGTCAAATTGGATTATTTCTGCAGTCCAGATGTAGCCTGAAACTGCTATGGCTCAATGCTATGGCAGTCTGGGAATTGTAGTTTTGTGAGACATTTAGCTTTCTCTATCAGAGGGTGCTCTGGTGCTGCAGCAAACTACAATTCCCAGGATTCCATAGCACTGAGCCATGGCAGTTAAAGTAGGGTCAAACTGGATTATTTCTGCAGTGTGGATGCAACCCTAGACTAAATTTTGCACCAAAGTGGTCAACAGAAAAGCATCAAAAATGCCTTCTTTCTTCTCCAAGACGGGAGCTGAAAACACCCCAAAACTGTTCTGACGTAATTCAGGGTGTTATCAAAACTTTATTTATTTCATATAACTTTCTACCATGGGTTTCTCAAAGCTCAAAATAATCCTTTTTAATTTTTTTGGACAAAAAAATGTCCAGAAAGATTTACCAAATGTCCTAAACTCTGGGTCTCCCTTCCACAAGATGCTTTCCACTTGTCTCTGTCTCTCTCTCTCACTATTGTTGCATGGAAACATAATGAAAGTCCATGAAGATTTCCTATGGAAAACATCTCCCTTTTAATGGGATTCCCTCCTGGAATGACTTCTGGGCCTGCTTAAAATAATAAAAACAAAACTTTTGCAAACCCAGACTGGCCTGAGACGCAACATACGTAAAACACAGCCTTCCTTCCCTTTGAAGCGCACTGTTGGAGTACGCTAAAAACCATTTGGGGACTGCAAAGGGAAAAAGGGAACCTGCTAAAAACGAAACAAAAGAAAGGGAAAAAAAAATAATGTTGAAAACCGCTCCACATTTACAACGGTTTGTCCCTTTTTCAAGTACTCTGTCGTCTTGGGAGGAATTGTTTGAGCCAAGGGATTTTGCAGAATCCTTGAGAAAGCCCTCCTCCTCCCTGGAAACAGTCTTGGAAGCATCAATAAATTATGGCCTTCCGCCGGGCCAAAAAGGTTTCCCTCCTCCGCTTGGATCTGGCTGGAAAATGAAGGGCCTTCAGAGTTCGGTGATGTGCATCGGATACCTGGGAGGACAAGGAGGATGCCTCAGGCTCAGGCGGCGCAGGTGGCAGCCGTGGCAAAGCAGGTGTCCCTCCAAAGGATAGCAACGCCGGCCTTCTTCGTCGTTCAGCTGGAGGCCACAATCCTAAAAGGGGGGAAAAACACCCCCCCCACAACTTTTAAAATAATAATACAGCGGGCCCTTGGGATCCGTTGGGGTTTGGTTCCAGGACCCTCCTCTGGATAACAAAATCCACGGAGGCGCAAGTCCCATAGATGCCCAAGCTTTTTGAACCTGAGAGCCGCCTTGGGTCCCTTCGGGGAGAAAGGTGGCATATCAATGGAATAATAAATATAATAATAATAATAATAAACTTTATAAGAAAGCAACAAGAGTGGGGAAAGGCATCTGAAGGATACATGGTTGGCCTTCCTCTGGACGATGAATGGATTTGGTTTTGGGAGACTTTCTTCAGCCAGCGACGGAGGGGAAAAGAAACCCTGGAGATCCCAAAGAAATGTCCAAAAACCCCTGAAAAATCCCAAAGGTTGTAAACACCTGGATGGAGATTTACCTCGCAATGGTAGCACTCCAGATGGTAATCCCGGTCCATCGATACGACTCGGATCGTCTCCTCAGATCCCTGGTTTGGAGAAGGATGCAAAGAGAAATACACGGTTTAGCAATAGTCTCTCTTGTCCTATTTAATGTTAAACCTATTATTCCACCCGCCACGGATCCCAAATATTTCTGGAGGAGGCATCTTGGACTCCACAGGCAGCATCGTTCCCTCCTAGTAATGCTGTCCTTGGAAGAAGGCCCCGAAATATCTGCATTTTGCAAAAATTATGTGGATGCAAGAGGAAAGACTATGGAGAGCAAGGCTCCTGGAGTCTCCTACCTGCGCTGGCAAAATTGGCTGGTTGCAGGAAGCACACTTTGGGGCGAAAACCCTAGATTGGAAAGAAAGAAAGAAAGGAAGAAAGAAAAACAGTCACACTTTTGCTTGAAAAACATGAAAGCGGCAGACAGAAAGAAAGGAGAGTCCAGAAACGTTCCAAGCAAAGGGAAATGTTAAGGTGCTGCAATATTGGGAAGCCTGGTTTTTGACTGGTACGGTCCAGACCAGAGGGCCAGTATGGTTTGAGTGTTGGACTATGACTCTGGAGACCAGGGTTCGAATCCCAGCTTGGCCATGGAAACCCAGAGTGACCTTGAGCAAGCCACACTCTCTCAACCTCATGGCAAATTACCTTAACTTGCTAAGAAAATCCCACAAAAACCCTTAGGGTTACCATAGGATTTGCTTTAATATTTCCCCATGAAAACCCCATGAAACCCTTAGGGTTCCCATAGGATTTCCTTTACTATTTCCCTATGAAAAACCAATGAAAACCCTTAGGATTACCATAAGATTTGCTTTAATATTTCCCCATGAAAATCCCACAAAAACCCTTAGGATTCCCATAGGATTTCCTTTACTATTTCCCTATGAAAATCCCATGAAAACCCTTAGGATTACCATAAGATTTGCTTCAATATTTCCCCATGAAAACTCACTAAAACCCTTACGGTTACCATAAGACTTGTTTTAATATTCCCCTACGAAAACCTTTAGGGTTACCGTAAGATTTGCTTTAATATTTCTCTACTTGGCCATGGAACCCATCAGGCGACCTTGGGCAAGACACACTGTCTCAGCCTCTGAGAATGGCAATGGCACAACCTGTCCGAAGAAACCTGAGCAGAAAACCCCTAAAACGACTTGGAGGCACACAACGACGACAACAGCAGCAGCCGCAGCAGCAACAACGACCATCATCCTTGCAACAGACGTCCTTCCTTGTCCCAATACACAGACACACACACAGACACACACACACACACCCTTCCCTTGCAGGGTTGTGCATACTGACGTGTGATAGTCTTTGACACAGTAAATGTTGTTCTCCAGGTCGACGGTGAAGGGGACGCCGTCCAAACATTTGTTACACACGACGCAACGGAAGCAGCCGGGATGGTAGGACTTCCCCAGGGCTTGCAATATCTGGAGAAAGAAGCAGCTAAAAGATTAAGGGGCAAGCCATTCGTTTATTTTTTAAATCCATTTAAAATTTTATTTATTTTTTACATTTAATGTGTAGTCATGGGATGGCTCTTTTATATGGAGGGGGTTGCTATATGGGGTGGGTATTATTGTGCTTTTATTGTGGCTTTAATGTCTGTAATTTTATATTGTTTTTATGTGGTGTTTTAATTTATT